GATTAGTACAGTCATATGAAAAAGTTTGAGCCGCCTTAATTTTCCTGATTTCCCTTTATAAATCAATGATTGTTTGGATAAAAAAAATAGTAAAATATATCATATAGGGGACAAACAGTGATATTTGAGAAGTGAAATGAAGTTTATATGATTTAAAGAAAGTGCAATAATTAAAATCAGGCAGGTGCATAAATTTGGGCACCGTTGTTTTATTGATTTCAAAACCTTTAGAACCAATTATTGGAACTTAAATTTGGTTTTATAAGTTCAGTGACCCTTGACCTCCATACACAGGTGACTCCAATTATGAGAAAAGGCCATTTAAATGTGTGTGTGTGTGTGTGTGTGGTGGTGGGGCAATTGTAGGTTTTTCTCCTCTTTGCGTCTTTGAAAAGTGGCAGCATGGGAGTCTGAAAACAACTTTCAAATGAGCTGAAAACAAGGGTTGTTCACCGTCATGGTTTAGGGGAAGGATACAGAAAGCTATCACAGATTTCAGCTTTCAGTCTCCACTGTGAGAAACACAGAAAATGGAGGACCACAGGCACAGTTCAAGTGTAGGCTCCAAGTGGCAGACCAAGACAAATCTGAAATAAACAGAAGTGAAGGATGTTGAAAACAGTCAGAGTCAACCCACAGACCAGCACCAAAGACCTACATCATCATCTTGCTGCTGATGGAGTCACTGTGCATCATTCAGCTATTTGTACAGATAAATATAGAATTGTTTTTAAAAGTCTTTAAATCAGTTACTGAAGTGCAAAAAACTCAACTTGAATACATGAGCTGRAAGCAGAGGAGGTTTAGGGTTTTAGGTTCTGCAGTGTCTGTAATGTTTAGGGTCACTCTGCAGCTGCAGGACTTAGTGACTCTGATGGGGTTTAGGTGTTAATGAGCCACAGAAAACTGCAGTCCAACAACAGTAGAGAAGTGATTCTGGTTTTACATTTAGTTTATTATCTGCAAGTAGTTGAGCTTTAAATATTTTATTCATCAACTCATTTTCATTTCCTAATATCTAAAATTTGTACTTCTTCTAAAGTGATTTTTAGTCTTTTTTTTTAACTAAGACTTACACATATTGTTGTCATCTTAGGCTCAGTGCTGCTCTGAGAGCTGCTTTCACAAAAACAGAACAACATAAACCCAACTCAGTCCACGCTGAGCTCCGTCTTGTCTCTTCTGTTTGCTGATGCATGTGTCTAATTTGATCAGAGGGSTTCAAACAAACACGAATCAGGCCTTAAATAAAAATCATAATGTGAGACCGGATTCGCAGCGTGCTCACRTAAAAATAACTCTGCAGCAAGTAAACTCAACAGTTTGTGTTGTGGTCTAACAGAAAGCCAGGTTCACAAAAACAGAGTTGAGAAACGTTTTATAGTGTTTTAAATGAGACGTCAAAATGTTAAATCCTCTTTTTCACATGTAAATCATTCAGTTGGGGTCTTATATAAAGTGGAACTGCAATGGTCTGATCTGAATTCCTCCTTATTGTAACTCCACAAGCCCCCTTTTCACCATTTTCCTGAGGTGTATCTCAGATCAACTCATTTTAAGACTGGCTCTTTAAATCCAAACAACTCCCCCCGCCCCTCTACACACACACACACCAGCTTCCAGAGTGAAAAATATGACCCAAACAGAACATAAAGATATCTCTGCAGCACTAGGAGACATTCAATTAAACTTTTCTGCACTGCTAGAGACCCCACATACACAACAAAACACATTTAACAGCAAAACAAAAAAGTGAACTTTGAATATGTCCTCTTTAAGGCTTTTCTGGATCACATAGCATCCTTAATGTGACTCTGGACTCCATCTTTTTATTTTTTTTTTTACAGAATTTAGCACAAAAAGTAAGGAAATCAGTGTTTGGTCGATTGTTTCTGTTTTGTAGCAATGATTCTTGGCAATAAATCTTATGATTGGCAGTATCTGAGGATACCAGAAGCTCTAAACCAGAATCAATAGCAACAGCAGAATAAACTGTTTGCAAGAGAGACATTGGCAAATATTTCATGAGCACAACCCAAATACTCTCATCCCACAAATGCATGTTCCTTACAAATGTGGCACCATTTAAGGGAAATGAACTGGCTTTTAAACGGTGTAAGATTTATTTCTACAAAGCTTACAACAACGAAATAATCTACCAAACACACAAATGTCATTACTTTTTGTGCTAAAGTATCTTCTAGCCCTCAGCTATGAATTGTTAAAGATGCAGAAAAGCCTGCTGTCACAGCTTGATTAACTCTGTGTTTGTGTCTCAGACCAACAGATAAAYAGTGGTCATGATGTGATGTACAGATAGGCTGAAATCTTGTTTTTTTAAATTATTTTGTATGTATTTCTTCACAAACATAACAGTTTTGTTGTGGTAACAACACTGTCATAAATCAGGAGGTAAAGAGTCACTCAGCTGAAGTTGAAGGCCGTAAATTGAAAGCTGAACCAGGTTCAAACAGATATGAGGAAGTCCTGCCCCACATGAACCGCTGAGCTCTTTCTGCACACAGGGAAGTGAAACAAAGCGAGACATTTGTCCAACACAGCAGCAGCTCTCAGCTCTCCACTCGGCTCAATCACAGGCAGGAGGAGAGCTGCTCCTGGTCCAGAGATGGGATTTGGGGAGGATCTCCGTTGTCCACAGGCTCACGCCGCTGTTCTGAGGCTGCTGGACTCAGAGCTTCATCTGATGGAGGTCATGAAGAAGTGGATGGGTCAGAGGGCCAAGAGCGAGCGGGAGTTTTCAGCACAGCTGCACCAGATGACTGCCATGGCTGAGAAAATGGAGCGACCTCAGAGCAGCGCAGGCCTGGATTACATCAGCCAGCTCAACAAGGTGAGCTCCTTCCTTCAGCAGGTGGAGTCACATGAGCTCAGGACATCAGGCTCCTCTGATTCAGTGTGTCAGAAAGACCCAAAATATCCCCAGTGTCAAAGGTTAGGGTACAAATAACCTGTTCCTTCATGTGGTCTCATTATTTGACAGTTTTTACTTCAGTCTCCATAACTGAGGCTGCTGTATATTTGTAATCTTTCAGATGCACAGAATCTCCAATCAGCACATCTTCATGAATTATTCAAAAATGTTAAGCAAACATTAAAATGCATCACGTTGTAAAAATGTAAAGTCAGTCACTGAAATGTGAAAAAAAAACCCAGTTATAAATGTTTGAAGAAAATAATCTGACATATGAGCTCCTGAAGCAGTCAGGCGTGACGCTGTCAGCAGTTCTCTACACGAGAGGTGGCTCCTGACCTGTTTTTGTTCTTTTGTCTCTCAGTCCTGGGGGGTGCTGGTGTCGCAGACGGAGTCCCTCAGTCAGATCATGAAGAGGCGCTCCGAAGACCTGCAGGACGGGCCCATCAGCAAACTGACCCTGCTCATCAGAGACAAACAGCAGCTGCGCAAAACGTACGCCGAGCACTGGAACCTTCTGAGGCAGGAGCTCAACAAGGTGGGGAACCGAACACACACAYACGTTTGTTGGGTTTTCTGTCCTCGTGGGGAACTTGCATTGACTTCCATTCATTTTCCAATCATTTCTACAGCCTAACCCTGACCCCTGACCCTAAACCTAACATAACTCAATTCACATCTTAGTCCTAAACCTAACCTTTGACCCACCAATGGTATTTCCCCCAACAGTGACCGGGCTTTTGTCCCCATAAGGAACAGTGGGTCTTCACCTGGCTGTGTGTACCACACACACACACACACACACACACAGTCCTCATCTTCCATTTATTTTTCATTCATTTCTACAATCAAACCACACACTTTATTTTCTCTCCATTGGTTTCCAGTCTGTTTTTAGAACTAATTTAGCAAAAACAGGAGTGTTAAAATTTCAGTGTTAAACTTTTGGGTGTTGATTTAACACCCCCCTTGTGTTATTTTAACACKTTGTGAGTAAACTARCACCCAGTGTTGGTGTTAATKCACAGTGTTGATTTCCTCAGTGTTGTGTCAACACTGGACAGTGTTMAATAAGCTCCGCCCACTGTTAMGTCTTATATAACACTTAACAGTGTTGTTATTGAACACCATGCAGTGTTGAAAGAAGTATTCTGAAAAGCTCCGCCCTCTTCCACCTCATGTCAACGGAATGCTGGGTAAYCTTGTAGAAATGATGTTTTAACATGTTTATGACAATTAAAGGTCATGAGAGTAAAAATGAGTTGTTCAGGTTAGTTTTCTTGTTCAGTTTGATCAAGTTGTTCAACTTAAAGTTTATGTTATCCRCCAAAAATCGACACCATGAGTGAGAGGTATGTCCTGGTGTGTGAAGAGTGACTCCATTATTCCTTATGCTAAATACTGAGCAGTATTTATGCAACACTACAAAGAGTTTGATTTTAACTCTAAGTGATGAATTTACACCTTTTAGTGTCTGTTAACCTTTTTAACACCATAATTCCCWTTGTTAATAATAATAATACAATGGTGTTGCTTTTAACACTTGATTTTAACACTGTTGAAATCCTGATGTRACACCCAGTATTGTTGAATATTAAACACTGGTTGGTGTTAATTTAACAAACTAGAAGCACTCGGAGAGTGCAAACCTCCGCCAAGACCAATTCCCCCCATCCTGTAAGAGTTAACGCCCAAAAGCAAAGATGGAAACACATTTGCCAAATAAGTTCTGACGTAGCGAACATTTAAGCAGGCAGTATGCACGGGATTTCTTCTCGGTGGAGTCCAATGTGAAAAAAAAGTCAGACTCATCATCCGACGTTATTCATCGTCAAACTGGTGTCGGATTAAGCTCCTAAGTTTTCATCAGTCACATTTCACCATGTAAAACATCTGTTTTATCCCCTTGTATGAGTTTGTAATGGTTTGACTCTCTTAATAAAGTGCTTCCTGGCTCCCCCCGTCTCCAAACTTTGAAGCCCGGCAGCTCTCTGTTTACAAGCCTAGTAGCGAGATACTGTTTGAATGGTTGTTTCGGAAATGCGGTGTGTTTGAGGAAATGGGAAAAATAGGTTTCATGGTGCAGTCACGCACTTCCTGGTCACAAAACGTTCTGTAAATGCGCATATTATGGCAAAAATTATTCATCATTCAATCTAATTTTAACATTATTTTATAAAGTTTGAAGTCCATGCTGTCCAATCCAGCTCACAGTTTTTTTACAGAAGCCCCGTGAAAGCATCACAGCTTTGCCGATCTCAGAGTGTTGAAAGAAAAAAAAAAGTTCTGTATCCGCATCGTGATCCAGAACATCACCAAAATTTAAAGGTGTGTTCCTTTGCCCWGTACCCACATGTGGTAAAACTGTCATGACAATCCATCCACAAATTTTTGAGTAATGTTGCCCACAGACAGACAGACAGACAGACAGACAGACAGACAGACAGACAGACAGACAGACAGACAGACAGACAGACAGACAGACAGACAGACAGACAGACACGACCGAAAACATTACCTCACCCTTGGCGGAGGTAAAAATGCGTGTTTAAATTTAACACTTTCACAAATGTTATTGTAACACCAGCGAGTGTGGACATATAGAAACTTTGTTGGTGTTGAAATTAACACTGTGGGTGTTAAAGTAACTGGCATTTTTACGGTRGTTTTTCAAGAGTATAAGAGATCTTTAAGATCAACTAATACTTCTTTACTGTTTGTCCTTAAATTAAATCAAACGTTARGCTGACCGGGCCTTTTGGGTCGCTGCACCCAGACTGTAGAACCAATCACCTCAGGACTGGTGTTCCCTCGCTGATCTGGGCCTTTTTAAATGTAATCTTAAAACCTTTTTATTCAGGCAGACTTTTAATAACCAGTAACTTTCTGGTATTTTCGTGTCATTTATGATTTGTTTTTAACTCTTTTATTTTGAAGCACTTTGTGAAACCCTGTTGGAAAGGGTTGTATAAATRAATATTGATTGAATGACACCTAACCCTAAAACCTAAACTCAGCTCACATCATAGTCCCAAACCTGACCTCCCCACTCTAAAACAGTATTTAAGCTTATTGGGGTTTGGACACCATTAGGAGCAGTGGGTCCTCACAGAGCCACACTGATGTAAGTTCCTGTTGGAGATTATTCTGGCTTTTTTTTTTTTGTCTCAGTTAAAAGTAACAAATCCCCAAAACTGGATTATAGGCCTTGGCCTCTCTTGCAAAAATGGGATTTGCCTGGCTAAATGAAAGCAGGCAAATAATAAATAAATAAACAAACAAATAAATAAATAAATAAATAAATGAACATTACTGTGTAAAAGTCTAGAGCCGTCCCTCATGTCTGCAGTATATATTATTGTTTTAAGCAGTCAGGTTTCTTCTCCATCTCTCTTACAGACTTTCTGAAAAAAAAAATTCAGCTTAATTCAATTCAACACAGTTTTTAGGGTTTTTTTTTTTTTTTTTTTTTTTTTTTGTATTTCACTTTGACATTTGAATCATTCAGGCATAAAAAGGTTCCTAAACGACAAGCAAGTTAACAGATCACAAGTTGTTCCCATTTCTGTGAGGAAAAAAAAACAAAAACAAAAAAACAAACATAACACAGACTGACACATAAAGCACTTCATCACAAACAAAGAGGTTCTAAAGAGCTTTCAGCTAAAAACTGTAGCTTAGGAGTTCCCAAATGGTGGACCGTGGTCCAGATCAAGACCCAAAAGACGTCTTTTCTGGACCCAGGTTGGTTGTTACATTTCAGAAGAAAGATTTTTTTAATAATATAGGTCTGTTTCTCACATTTCATTCATTGTTGGTGGTTCAGCTTAGTTTATGGTAATTCATACAGTTTCCTGCATGTACCATCATTCATTGTAGCTCAACTTTTAGACATTTAAGATCCTTCGTTTTAGATGGAGCAGCTTTTCTATAATTTGTGATAATTCAATTTAAACACCACAACTTTTCTATGAGTTACTGTAACTAATTTTAATCAACAGATCCCTTTTTAAAAAGCGTTTACAGTAATTTGATGGGTGGTGTAGCCTTTCTAGCATTTACGGTAAACACCACGTCTGGCCTGTGGTTTCAGTTTGCTTCTGTCTGCAGAGAGGAGCTGCCAGCTCACCTGGCCAGACAAGATGGTGTGAAGATTAGATTACTGGTGTGACTGCAACTAAAAGAGATTTTAAATACATATTCTGGATCATTGTTAGAGTAAAACAATTTATCAAGAGGACAGGATTTCTTCTCTTTTTTATGTGATTTTCAGACTCTTTCCATCAGCTGCAGTGAGGTATTTCAGCCTGATGATGTTTCTTTTTTAGTCCTCATGTTGTAAATCCTGCACAAAGTCATGATCAGGTCAAAGGACTGGACAGAAAAATGAACAAAAAGCTGCCAAAGTTAAAAGAAAAACCCTGAATGATCTCCAGAAATCCTGAAGAACCAAAGAAGTCAAAATACACTATATTATTGAACACATGTAACCTGTAAACACTTAACTACACGCACTGACAAAAAAGGTCTTAAAGGAAAGAAAAGCACTGCTGAAAATAATCAGAGGTTTTATTTAATTGAATATTTATTACTTCTACTCTTTTCGTGGCTATTTTTGCAGAAATATTTGACTTCATTGACCAAAAGTTCCAATTACAGGAACTAAAAGCTGAACTTTATAAAAGTGTTTAGTCTCTTTTATTGTAATAGTGAAGTTGTTGAGTTTGAAATGTTTTTTATTCAAAGCATTTAAAAGGAAACAAACAAAACAAAACAAAACAAAACAAACCTATACCAGATCTGTAAATTCAAAGGTGTTATAGATGTTCTGTTTTTCAGTCACACGACAGAAACTGATGAACTGCTGGGATATTTATCCAAACCAGAGACTTTATTTTATATTCCTGACAAAAGTAGTAATAAAAATCACTTTATTCAGCCTTACCAAGCAGTTTTAATTTGTCTGCAAAAGGAACAAATAGTTGTAAACAGAAGAAAGTTAAAAAACGAGCTGCTGGTGAGACTCTCTGTGATTGGTCCAGTGGATGAGCAATTTTATTTGCCTTTCACTTTCACTATTTTTGGACTTAAATTAAAAGTAAACAATCCTGCGGAGCTAAATAATTAAAATAAAAACGTTTTAAACTGTGACTCAGACATACATTTTGTGATGTTTTAGGTCATTTTTACTGAGGGTCATTATGGTGGTCCTCAAAGAGCCAGTTAGACTAAAAACACAAAACGTCATGTTCCTCGTCTCATACGACTGAGCACCACTAACAAACAATAACTGAGCTCTATGTGGTATTTCCTGCTTAGTAACATTGTTTTAACACGTCCTCTTATAAAAGCTGAAGTGTACGAATAAATGTGACATACATAATGCAGAAATACTAGTAAAAGTAAGAGAGTTTTACTGACTGAGTTGTGGTGAGTATAGCCGGCATCCTGTGTTCTGAACTCAATCATTTACTGACAGGGCATTCCGGTTTAAATTTACATCATGTAAGTTTGAAATTCCCAATTAACCGGACGGCAGCAAAAGTAGCAGGGAAAATGCGTCGAAATAGAGATTTTATACAACAAATTTAACCAGTTGCCAGCTGCTTTTAAACCCTGTGTACTAGTGGTGGGATGCTGTCATGCTGCGTTCCAGTTGTATCGGAACTCGAAATTCTGAAGCCGGACTGACGTCAGTTCAGAGCTGACAGTGTTCCGGTTTCAAACATGGGAAAAAGCGTTTCTATATTTTGCTCTGCAACAATAAAACGTACAATAATAGTGCTCTACAAGGTATTTTTCACTATAAAGCACTACAAGTACGTCTGACGTAATGTAAAATAAACAACACAGAAGCCACATTTGTTTGCATGCAAGACTAGCAACGTTAGCGGTTAGCTCAGACAAGCATGCTAGTACGCTACGTACATTAAACAAATATAAAAAGGGAAAATAAACAAACAAGTTACACTCGTTTTTATTCTGCCTCCTCTCTTCTTACTTTCCGTCTGTTAAATAATGGGAATGGTGCTTGTGTACGTTTGATTACTGCTCAACATTAGCCGTTAGCTTAGAGAAACATGCGCGCAGCAGCCATGTTGAAATGATGGCGTAACGCATGCTCGGGCTGCTCGGGTATGGTTTGGATGCGCCGACTTCTCGACTCGAAACTACGGCTTCATGGGGTGCTCCAGTTGAAAAATAGAACTCGGAGGCTCGAAGCTACGACCTCCGAGGACAACTGGAACGCAGCATCAGTTCCTGCGTAAAATAATCAACATGCATTATGAGAGATGTAGTTTATGGTCCATGCTGGTTTTAAAGCAGCTTATTTTAAGACATGACACCATCTTTGAAGTTCTCACAGGCCACCTAAAACGTGGCGGCCCACATTTGGCCTGCAGGCCTTCAGTTTGTCACGTGTCTTAGAGGATGTGATCCGTATGCAGGCGAGGTGGCAGCTTTATAATCATCCCGTCAGACAAATGAACCTCAAACAGAAAGAAAAACACATTTGATGTCATTTCAAACCGGTGGCTGCTTCGTCTCGCCTTTATTGTCCAATTACATCAAGCAAACGATGCGAACATGAGCGCCGATCTGTGCGGCGCTGCAGTTTGTTTTCAACACTTTGCTCTAAAGCTGCTGACCAAGCCCGACTGTTTGAGCCCGGCTGTGTGGTTCTGCAGGACTGAGATGTTCTGATGTGATTAAAAGAGGGAGCGGCATTGAAGAAAACAGCGTGAGAGATGCCATCAGAGAGTGGCAGGCGAAACCTTGCTGCTAAGTTCCACAACAAAGGTCAAATCATTTCCTCATCTAGTGTTTTCTCATGTTTCGTGTTCCCCCTGCAGAGACACACATCAGGTCTGCTGTCCCCTTCCTGTGTGTGTTTGTGTTTGTTCTTTACAAACTCGATGCTCACTCAAGCTCAAATACAGAAATTCACTCATATTTTACTTTACAGATGTGTGGCTAAATCAAAGTGCAGCTTCTTTCAAAGTGTTTTATTGTTTCTCAGAACAGGAGAAATCGAATTTACTTTTTAAATCTGATTTTAAAATATTGTTTTTTTAAGGTGACCTGCACTGAGCTAGAGAGACTGAAGAACAGCTACAGACAGGCTCTGAAAGATGCAGCTCAGGCAAAAAGAAAGTACCAGGACACGAGTAAAGGTGGGATTTCCACACATTCTTTACTTCCTGAATCAGTTTCAGGCTGAGGCCCTGTGGCGTCTCCTTCTTTTTTTTTCTTTTTCTCTTGTTTAACTCGATTCGTCTGTGTGCAGACAAGGACCGAGACAAAAACAGAGAGCGTTACATCAAGGCTGTGGCGAAACTCCACGAGCTCCACAACGAGTACGTCCTGTCTGTGCAAGCTGCCCAGGTTTACCATCAGCATCACTGCAGCCAGATGCAGCCGGCTCTGCTCCGCGCGCTGCAGACTCTGCAAGAGGAGATGGTGCTCATCCTGTAAGGTCACACCCGGGGAGATTTCACTGGCTGAAGGAACAAAGGAAATTTATTTCCAAACAGCAGAGAAACAGAAAAACTGAACACTGTTGCAGTTTTAAAAACACTCAAATTTACAATTAATTTTACATAGTTTTTAGTTGTTTTCATTTATTTCCATCATAAACATGTTAATATTTGTTTATGTAGTTTAGAACGTGACTACTATTAGCGTTATCTTCTGAATTCCCTTTCATTGAAGGGAAGCACATCAGTCAACGCTCAGTGAGAAGGGGATGACCACCACCACTTCAAACTGTTGCTCAATATCTGTAAAACTGACGGAATTGGAGCTATTTTTATCTTTGTTTCAGCTGATTTTAGCAGCTGCCTTAAGTCAGGTTGACTCAAAAAGTCACTCAGTTGTAGATTAATGATTACTTCATGTTCAAGATGGCTGCTGCAGCTAAACAGCCTTGGCAACTCAGACAGTTTTATGGACAGTGAGCTATTTTGGTGCAATGTTAGCTGTGAGTTATTTTCAACACATACAGCGGGTAAAATAAGTATTGAACACGTCACCATTTTTCTCAGTAAATATATTACTAGAGGTGCTAATGACATGAAATTTTCACCA